TGGTCTTCGGTCATTAATGTCTAATGCATCAAATCTGTTCTTCAGATGATCTCTAAATTTAGGTGGTTTATGTTCAAAGTCACATTTTGGCTCTCGTGGACTTGTTTTCATTTTATTCAGCTTCAGCCTGAAGTTGCAAACGAACAATTGATGCTCTGTTCCCGTCAGAACACCTGTCCTCTGCCGTAATGTAGACACACGTCCTTCTCATTTTTGACTTCTCAGTCATGGGCCCCTTGACCTCTGCCTGTCATCGGGCCTAGAACCCACAGATGCTCTGTCTCCACACCATTGCCTCTGCCTTCACCCGTTTTCTAGGTGGGGATCTCACACTTGGCTCTTGCTCTTCCTTCTTGATGGTCCTAGGATCTTTAATTCCTCCTTCTGAGATGGCACCTTTTAAACCTAGCTGGATGCCCAAACTAACCAACCCCAGTCTTAAAGCCCTGTATCATGTATTTGCATAGTCCCACTCAATCACTTAGGAGGAATTATAACATTGGATAGAAAAGTCATACAAGGCACCACACTGGATCAAGGGGCCTAGACGCCTACAGATGCTGTGTCTCTATGAGACCACCTCTGCCAGCGCCTTTCTAGATAGGGGTCTCATGTTCTGCTCGTACTCTTCTTTCTTGACGGTCCTGGGATTAGCTGCTGCTGCTTCTGAGGCTCCTTTTAAGCCTAGCAGGAGGGAGAAATAACCAATCCCAGCCTTAGAGTCCTGCACACCTGATTTGCTTGGATCCATCATTAACACTCCTGGAAGCAGCAGTCAAGAAATCAAACGACATATTGCATTGGGCAAATCTGCTGATTAAGACTTTTTTAAAGTGTTGAAGAGCAGAGATGTCAGCTTGAGGACTAAGGTGCGCCTGACCCAAGCCATGGTATTTTCAATAACCTTATATGCATGCAAGAGCTGGACAGTGAATAAGGAAGACCGTAGAAGAATTGATGCCTTTGAGTTATGGTATTGGAGGAGAATACTGAAAGTGCCATGGACTGCCAAAAGAAAGAACAAATCTATATTGGAAGAAGTGCAGCCAGATGCTCCTTAGCAGCCAAGATGGCCAAACTTTGTCTCTCATGCTTTGGATATGTTGTCAGGAGGGATCAGTCCCTGGAGAAGGATGTCATGCTCGGTAAAGTGGGGGGTTAGTGAAAAAGAGGAAGCCCCTCAATGAGATGGATTGGCCCAGTGGCAGCAGCAATGGGCTCAAACGTAGCAGCGTTTGTGAGAATGTGTAAGCCCGGGCGGTGTTTTGTTCTGGTGTGCATATGCTTGCTATGGAATGGAATCGACTCAACAGCACCTAACAACAACCATGCAATAAACTGGTGGGAATTAAGATGATTTTGGATAGAAAAGCCATTATCAAATAAATTCACAATGCCATAATCAATGCAGGTAATAAATAAATTTGGTGATTTAAAGTAAACATGAGTGGCTTATGTATCCACTGATGCAGGTGCACACCCACTCCACCACAACTCTGGTCGTAGCAGCTCCAGCAAAGAAAACCATCGTCATCATTTGCTGGGCGCAGAGACCTAGCCTGAGTGGATATGAAGTTGTTCACGGCGGTTGCTCGCCCTGTGTTGTGGGAGATCTGGGTGTACACAAGTGTCAGGGTTGGTGGGTGTGCTGCCCCAGATCTGGGAGTGGAGGGGGTGGCCTAGGGGGGGTTGCTCTCACAGGACAGGACAGTGCCCTGTTCTCAGAATTCTCAGCCTGACACCTTCTTCTCTGTGGCTCCTAGACCTTCCTGAAGGTGGCTTTTGGAAGCCAATGAAGAGGGGTGTGTGTGTACATGTGTGTGCCCACACATGTCTGTGTGTGCATGTACATGATTGTGTGCATGTGTGTCCGTGAGAAAACATCCTACCTGTGGGATGAGGACTTCTTGAATGGGAGAGGGGTAGAAACAGGACCTGTCATTTAAATTTTATTTAAAAATTAAGAAAGAAAATTACAGATCTAACCACTTTTTGCAATTAGCCAGCCGGATTGGCAGCTGCCTCCGAGTGAGATACTGGCCTCCCGGCCCCCTCCACATTGCTGTCCCGCATCCTGGGCTCTGGTCTGGCACGCGAGTCACCGGCAGCCCCCAGCATCCAGAACTCACGGCTCTCTGAAGTGAACGAAGAACGTCCGGATTTCCTTGGGGTGGACTCTGATGGTGGCGTCTTCTGGCGGCCGCGGAGTGGGGCTGGAGTCGCCTGGGGGACAGAGGTGGTCTGCCCAGCACTGCCTTGGAACCACTGCTTCCTTCCAGCCTCCCTCACAAACCTGCTCCTCTCCACAGTGTGTTGTGGATCCAAGCATGTTCCCCCCTCCCCCATGTCCTGGCATCTCTTCTGTCTTTTCTGCTCTCCCATTGGGCCCCAACCCTAGTAGAAGGCTCAGTCCCCCAATGGGATTTCTGAGACCATCTCATGTGGCAGCCCTTTAATACCTCACAAGGCACTACTGATGCCAGGGTCTCCAAGCTGGGGCTTCAGCTTTGGGAGAAAAGTCTGTCCATCCATCTGTCCAATCATAAAGCCATTCCTCTCCATGTAGTCCCTCACCTATCCATCCATGTACCACACACCTATCCATCCATCCATCCAACTACCCACCTATCCAAACATCCATCTACCTACTCATCCATCCACCCACCTACCCACCTACCCACTCATCCATCCATCCATCCACCCATCCATCCATCCACCCATCCCACACATCTATCCATCCATCCACCCATCCCACACATCCATCCATCCATCCACCCATCCCACACATCCATCCACCATCCAGCCATCCATCTTCCCATCCATCTACCCATCCATCCATCCATCCATCCACCCATCCATCTACCCATCCATCCATCCACCCATCCCACACATCCATCTACCCATCCATCCATGCATCCATTATCCACCCACTCATCTACCCATCCACCCATCCATCCACCCATCCACCATCCATCC